TGTGAGTGGGATCTCCCAAAATATTCCTTAAATGAGTCCCTGGGTGGTAAATCTGTGAGTGGGATCTCCCAAAATATTCCTTAAATGAGTCCCTGAGTGGGTAAATCTGGCCCAAAATTTCCTTAGGGGATAAAAATCCCTGAGTGGGATCTCCCAAAATGTTCCTTAAATGAGTCCCTGGATGGGTAAATCCATGAGTGGGATCTCCCAAAATCTTCTTAAACTCTTCAGAGATTTCCTGGGTCCGTAAATCTATGAGTGGGATCTCCCAAAATCTTCTTAAACCCTTCAGAGATTTCCTGAGTCAGTAAATCTGTGAGTGGGATTTCCCAAAATCTTTTTTAACCCTGAGCGATTCCCTGGGTAGGTAAATCCTTGAGTGGGATCTCCCAAAATATTCCTTAAAGGATACTCTGGGTGGGAAAATCTGTGATTGGAATCTCCCAAAATAGTCCTTAAATGAGTCCCTGGGTGGGTAAATAAATCCCTGAGTGGGATCTCCCAAAATATTCCCTTAATGAGTCCCTGGATGGGTAAATGCATGAGTGGGATCTCCCAAAATGTTCCTTAAACAATTCCCAGGGTGGGTTTCTTCAGGGGGACAGAAATCCATGAGTGGGATCTCCCAAAATCTTCCTGAAATGAGTCCCTGGGTGGGTAAATCCATGAGTGGGATCTCCCAAAATGTTCTTTGAACTCTCAGGGATTACCTGAGTGGGTAAATCTGTGCGTGGGATCTCCCAAAATGTTCTTTGAATTCTCAGAAATTCCATGGGTGGGTAAATGTGGGAGTGGGATCTCCTAAAATGATCCTTGGACATTCTGTGATTGGGATCTCCCAAAATGTTCCTTAAATGAGTCCCTGGATGGGTAAATCCATGAGTGGGATCTCCCAAAATGTTCTTTGAACTCTCAGGGATTCCATGGATGGGTAAATCCGTGAGTGGGATCTCCCAAAATGATCCTTAAATGAGTCCCTGGGTGGGAAAATCTGTGAGTGGGATCTCCCAAAATCTTCTTAAACCTTCAGGGGTTTCCTGGGTCCGTGAGTAGGATCCGTGAGTAGGATCTCACAAAATCTTTTTTAACCCTGAGCGATTCCGTGGGTGGGTAAATCCCTGAGTGGGATCTCCCAAAATATTCCTTAAGCGATTCCCTGGATGGGTAAATCTGTGAGTGAGATCCCCCAAAGTGTTCCTTAAACAATACCCTGAGTGGGTAAATCTGTGATTGGGATCTCCCAAAATCTTCTTAAACACTTCAGAGATTCCATGATTGGGTAAATCCATGAGTGGGATCTCCTAAAATATTCCTTAAACAATTCCCTGGGTGGGAAAATCTTTGTTTGGCATCTCCCAAATTCTTCCTAAATCATCAGCAATTCCCTGGGTGGGTTTCCTTAGGGAGATAAAAATGTGTGAGTGGGATCTCCCAAAATGTTCCTTAAATGAGTCCCTGAGTGGGTAAATCTGGCCCAAAATTTCCTTAGGGGATAAAAATCCATGAGTGGGATCTCCCAAAATGTTCCTTAAATGAGTCCCTGGATGGGTAAATCCATGAGTGGGATCTCCCAAAATGTTTTTTGAACCGGTGGGGATGCTGGGGTGGGGAAATCCCTGAGTGGGATCTCCCAAAAATTTCCTTAAACAATTCCCTGGGTGGGTAAATCTGTGAGTGGGATCTCCCAAAATGATCCTTGGACACCGAGCAATTCCCTGGGTGGGAAAATCCATGAGTGGGATCTCCCAAAATCTTCCTATTTAAACTCTCAGGGATTCTCTGAGTGGGTAAACCCGTGAGTGGGATCTCCCAAAATATTCCTTTAATGAGTCCCTGGGTGGGTAAATCTGGCCCAAAATTTCCTTAGGGGATAAAAATCTGTGAGTGGGATCTCCCAAAATGTTCCTTGGACACTGAGCAATTCCCTGGGTGGGTAAATCCATGAGTGGGATCTCCCAAAATATTCCTTAAACAATTCCCAGGGTGGGTTTCTTCAGGAGGACAGAAATCCATGAATGGGATTTCCCAAAATGTTCCTTAAATGAGTCCCTGGGTGGGTAAATCCATGAGCGGGATCTCCTAAAATCTTTTTAAACCCTCAGGGATTCCCTGGGTGGGTAAATCTATAATTGGGATATCCCAAAATGTTCCTTGAACCGGCAGGGATTCCCTGGGTGGGAAAATCTGTGACTGGGATCTCCCAAAATATTCGCAAAGCATCAATGATTCTCTGGGTGGGTAAATCCATGAGTGGGATCTCCCAAAATATTCCTTAAATGAGTCCCTGAGTGGGTAAATCTGTGATTGGGATCTCCCAAAATGTTCTTTGAACTCTCAGGGATTCTCTGGGTGGGAAAATCCATGAGTGGGATCTTCCAAAATTTTCCTTAAACCTTCAGCAATTCCCTGGGTGGGTAAATGCGTGAGTAGGATCTCACAAAATCTTCTTGAACTCTCAGTGATTCCTTGGGTGGGTTTCTTCAGGGGATACAAATTCATGAATGGGATCTCCCAAAATTTTCTTAAACCTCAGCAATTCCCTGGGTGAGTTTCTTCAGGGGGATTCAAATCCATGAGTGGGATCTCCCAAAATCTTCCTATTTAAACTCTCAGGGATTCTCTGAGTGGGTAAACCTGTGAGTGGGATCTCCCAAAATATTCCTTAAACAATTCCCTGAGTGGGAAAATCTTTGTTTGGGATCTCCCAAATTCTTCCTAAACCATCAGCAATTCCCTGAGTGGTTTCCTTAGGGAGATAAAAATCCATGAGTGGGATCTCCCAAAATCTTTTCAAATCCTCAGTGATTCCCTGAGTGGGAAAATCTTTGTTTGGGATCTCCCAAAATCTTAAATCCTCAACAATTCCCTGGGTGAGTTTCTTCAGTGGGACACAAATCCATGAGTGGAAATCAATCCCAATTATCAATTTTTTTTTATTGATAACCAATCAATCAACCATAAGAAAATCCTTTGGAATACAATCACAGGGATCTAATTAACCACCTTTAATAATTTGGGATTTTTAGATCTCCATAATCCAAGGAGTTCTCTCTGATATCAACGTGAAAAAGGGCGAATGCGAGTGCCAGTACTACATCGACAAACTGGAATATCTGGATGAGAAACAGAAAGATCCGCGCATCGAAGGCAGCAAAGCTCTGCTGTGCCACGGGGAGCTGAGGAATAAAAACGGCCACGTGAGTCCCTCATTTGCACTCATT